ATACGCTTTTCATTTACGAAAGCGAATCCTCAGGTTGGCTTCAGTTATGCTGGAGACATCCATATAATGCTAGGAGCGTAATCCTACTATCTTCCTACCTTGAATGGCTTCCATCTCATTTTCTTTAATAGAATGTTTCAAGTTTTATTTCCTTAGTATTTCTCTAAACATGTCCTTCTGTTCTCAAATGAAATATCTTATAAGATTTTGTTTGAATAATTGTGAATTGGCCCAAGTTCAACACTTGGGACACGTTTCTTCAACCTTTTTTCGAAGTTCTTCAATCTTGAAATTAACCAGTTCGAGAAATTGGAACCCAGCTCTTACATAATTGGACTTACATCATTCTCTTATCCACGAAGCTTGACTATCTGATTTATAACTTCAAGAAATAACTTATACTTTTTGTTTCTTAACTCATAATGTGCCTATCAGCTTCATCTCTCCGTCTACCTGCTCTCTCTCTCTCTCTCTCTCTCTCTCTCTCTCTCTCTCTCTCTCTCTAGTTTTATCGAATGGAATCACAAAGAGTTTTCTCTCTTCGAACTGTTCCATTTCGATGGCTTGCAACTTATTCTGGCTAATTACTTTAATCAAACTGACAGATGCCTGTGATGTTACTTCCTCCGATTCTTCCATTGTTTCAGGTTTTTTAAGCTTCGTGCTGGCACCGTTTACTACTAACCTTCTCTTACTTCCTTCTGTCAGCCATCTCAACCTCTCTAAATCTGCAATTTTAAACTTTTGTGGAAAAGAAAGGGCACAGTTCAAATTGGCCTGCTATTTAGGAGAAAATTGAGCGTTTCTTCAACTAACTGGCTTACCTATCATCGTGCTGAAATTCACAGCAAAAAATGGACACACAAAACGATTTCCGAGAAGTAAATGGTCGTTGGAAAGATGAATTTGCTAGCGTTCACGCTAATTACACCTTGTATAGTCAGTTAGCTGTGCATGTGAGGCCTTTTCATACTACGAAGAGAGTAGAGTAGAAGCTTTTTGCATACAACACGTCTATTAGTTAATTCGATCATGTTTGTAAAGTTCATCATAAGCGGTAGTCTCAGTCAGTTCCATGTTCATAATTAGAAACACTTCCTCACAAACTTTAAACCTAATTAATTGCTTTGATTAGTTCCCAATTGTAAAGACTTCCATTTTTGATTTTCATTTCTGGTCCAAGCGATCGTTCGATGCAACAAAGTAATTTTGATCATTGGGAGTTTGAAACAGATCGTTGCCTTGTCGACATTATTGTTTCTCCTTACTATCTCAATTAGGAGTTTGCGTTCACTTAATTGACCAATATCTATTACACATACTGATGAAATGCTTTGTTTCTTTCTGACAAAAAGCCCAGAGGACATCGAAGGTCATCTGGTTGAGAAACATAACAACAACCGTGTTCTCTTTGGAATCGTCCGAATCTTCAAGATTTCCCCACATAGTTATCTGTTCCTTGTTTTTTTTGTTTTCCTTAACCTGTCCTGATGATTAAATCCTCTTTGATATAGTCGGAATCTCTTTCTGTCTGTTGCAACTTCTTCAACGTCGTTTAGTTGATCTGATTGGTTTGCCGCTAATTTCATACAAAAAGCTTCTCTCATTCAAGTACTTTCTCCATAACAATACGTTTGCCCTTCAAGCATTCATTCTCATGAAGATTTTCGCTTCCAGTGTTCTTTGACTTCCTCTTTCCTATTTATGCGTATTTTTAAGAGAAAAGTCATTTTATTGCTATGCTAAACAAACATTTTCATAGAAATTAGATTAAGCAACCTGTTAGCCCCGTGATGCGATGAAGACACCACTCACGTACGTCTGCTTCCTAGCCTATTTCCAGGTATCTTTTCAGGTTTCTCAATTATTCAAATTTTATTTTTTTTAATGCGAGTTAGACGTTTCTCCTTTACTTCTCACAAAACCGAATCACCTGATTGAACTATAACGAAGGTGAAAAAATTGCCGATCGTCTGCATTTCACTTAGTTTACGATCGCCCATTTTCTTATTGTGTGTAGAGATTCTTTAGTGTGAGCAGTTCATGTTTTTCCAAAATGTCCACAATGGCTAATGAGATTCTCAAATGAAGTATTTGTCAGGTACCCAACTGATCTAATTCGCTCGTTTATATTGTGTTCGAACAATCTATGAACGAAAACATCGAAATGTCGTGTCGTTTTCATTTTTTGTAAAAGACGGACTGTTCACAACCGTTCATTTGTTCTGCGTAGTCATAAATGAGAAGCCATCGCGCGCTTCACGCATTTCACGTGAAAAATTCTAATTTCTCATTTGTCGGGTATATGCGAGAGAAGAACATTGATCTATGTTGAAGATTTCAAAAAACAGCTCAAACACCTTTAGCGAATTGTTTTTTTTTCGTTTAGATAGCATCATGTGTTCATCATGATATGGATCATTTGATGTTACATCATATTTTTGGTACTAAAAGTTCAGATAAAGGTTTTTCCAATTTTTATTGGAAGGAACAAGTAAAGACAAAATCATATTTAGTTCCCGAGTATTGGATTGATTCACCTTCGCAATCTTTTTCTGGAAAAGGATTCTTCTATGATGTTCTGATCGAAGGAAAACAAGAAAGGTTCTGGTTAGAACCCAAAAATCAAATATTATCGCCAAGTGAGAAACTGAGAAAAAAAGAAAAAAAATTTCAAAGATGGTTAAGGCTTTCATTTGGTTGTCAATGACGAGTTGAATTCAACGATCTTGGATCATTCAATTCGAGACGAACATTGCTTATATCAAGGCTATTCCATAACCCATAATGGTTCCACAATAGCCTTGTCAGGTTGTGGAAACAGAAAGGTTTGATCTCAAGCTTTGATCGCTTAAACAAGAAAAATTCTTTTTTAGCATGGGTTGATGATATCAGACTGGGGTGAATATTACTTGATTCAACCTGAACAAACTAAAATTTATAATAATGAAAACTCTAAGCATATCATTCAAAAACGTTCGACTGAACGCATCCATGATCAACACACATGCATTTTCGGTAAAGAACACTTGTTAGTTGTATATCCTTTGTGTAGATGCTTCATCTGATCCTTACCCGAATGATATCCTGGAGAATCGAATGCACAACTTGATGGACACAAGAAAAGCTGTTATGAAGTTAGCACAGTACTCTCACTCTTTTTGAATTGCTTACAACAGGAATGGTGATATGACTATTGAACTAGCTGTCTTTGCTGATGATGCTTTATGGAGGCATTTTCTTCAACTTCATCATCAGAATGCTGATGCAGAATTACATAAGTTTATCCTCGCAGCTGTGAACAATGTACTATTCTCCTAACATCTACAGCTCATTAACTTATTCCAGATTGATATTCTTTTCACCCAAAGATCCATCGAGCCACACATAGACATCAGGGTTGTTCGATACCAAGTTATGAAATCTCCACCTGTTCGTTTGAGAATGAACTTCTTTTCTTTAATCATGTAATGCTTCAGAGGACTATGGCTCACAGTTCTCATTCATCAGGTGATGTTGATCGTTTGTTAGATGCTTTCTGCGAATTTCAACACAGTATCAATCCTCCAAGCGACGATGATCCCCGTCATTGGGACCACGCTCTTCTTTTTTCTGGGTAAACTCTAGTTTTCTCTCTTCTTATATCTTCATATTTCAACAGTTATGATCTTTATCGAGACGGTTTGAAAACTGTTGCGGGATATGCTCCAGTCAAAGGGATGTGTAGTGGCCAACGGTCTTGTACAATAAACGAAGGCTTAGACTTCGGTAGTGTTTTCGTTGTCACCCATGAGATGGGTCATAGTCTCGGAATGTATCATGATGGTGATAATGAGTGCGATCTTCGATGCTGTATCATGAGTCCTTCCGTGGGTTCTGGAAAAACTCGTTGGAGCCATTGTTCAGTAAATGAAATGTCATCATTCCTTGGGGTAGCTGATTTTACTATTATCCCTATAACGTTCATCTTCATTACAGCGTTTGGGATCTGAATTCCGTCCTCCTAACTGTTTACTTGACTACCCTGTAGAAGAACAGGACATGATCTTCACTGATAAAGTTCGATCAAGTTTATATGTCTAACTCTTACTTGTATTCCAGGATAACCCGGGTCAAATTTTCACATTGGATGAGCAATGTGAAATTTTTCATGGAGAATGCTGGAAGCATGAACTGAAAGACGGTCAGAGATTACAGGTATTTGTTTTGAAATCTAATTGATATGATAGAGAGGTTGATAGGATGTTTGTTCGATCGTTTGGTGTGGAAATGGGGAAGGAATAATCAGAACTGCCCATCCCGCTCTAGAGGGAAGTTACTGTGGTCCAGGAAAAGTATCTTTCTCAAAAATTCATCTTCATCTTTAATTATACTCTATAGCAATGTCGATCTGGAGTGTGCGTTCCAAGTTATAGAAACTTACTTCCTGTTCATGGAGGATGGTCAGAATGGAATGATAGTCCAGGATCCTCATGTGGTGGACAATGCCTTCCGTGCCAGATTCAGGGACAGATCCGAATTAGACGTAGCATCCGTCAATGTAACCTCCCTAGGTAAGATTTTGTTGAACATATTATCACTACAAGGAAATTGTAAGCCCTAACAATGGAGGTCAGTCTTGCTATGGAGATGAAGCCAGAGGACTACGATGTGAACGAGAAGTTTTCAAATGGTTCAAACCTCTTATTTTTCTTGTCGTCTTTAGGTATGTCGTGGAGTATCTCAGGAACAATACGCTACAAATATTTGCACAAAACTTCGTGATGATCCTGCCGTTCCTAACCCTCAGTTAACAGGTCAAGGAACACAGTTCGAACAAGCTTTGTGTAAAGTGTGGTAAGTACGGTTCCAGTTAAGACTGCTAACAAATCTATTGAAGGTGCCTTCTCACACTTTCAAACAATATTAGAACAGTAGCAAATTTTCCTGATGGAACTCCTTGTGGTTATCAGAGGTTTTGTATCAAAGGAGAATGTCGAGTAAGCCATCTTGAAAAAATCAGATCAGAGTATACATTGCTGTTTTAGCCTGTTTTGTGCTCAGGCAGTGTCATATCGACAGGAGAAGAAAACTGTCCATTAGCTGTAAGACCCAGCACACCAAATCCAATGCATTCAACAGCTCCTTCTATTCAAAGCAACAGCATTACTGATACTCCAGAATCACGTACTCAATTTTCTGTTATCATGCAGTTTTATTTGAATATTGTAGAAAACCCATTTTGGAAACAGTGGTCTGGGTGGTCACTTTGGTCTCAATGCATTTCCTATAACTGTGGTTTTGTTTTCCAATTAGTATTGCGCTGATATTTATTTTCAGAAGCTAGAGGATACAGAGTTCGAGCAAGACGTTGCTTTGCTGGACGATGTGATGGGTCCTCCCGGGAAAGAGAAGCTTGTACACCTCCACCATGCCCAAACAGTAAGATATCTTAAAATCATCAAGTACATAATGTTTCAGGCTCAACTGCTACACCACCAACCACTCAACAAGCTTTCAAATACAGTACACGAGGTATCTTTGAGATCATACGTGGGTAAAGTATTTTTTTCAGTTTGGACTTGGACCACTACTACGACTCCTTTACCATCAACAACTCCTCGAGCTCGCACAATTAGTACTATCCCGCCTACACGTTTGATCTGGCACCCGCGAACGACAACAACCACCACATGGCGTCCATGGACCACAACGACAACCTGGAGACCTTATACGACCAATTCACCTTGGCGCTCTACAACAGTCTCCACTTGGAGACCAAGTGCCACTACCACTCCATCATGGCAGTCACGACAGTCCACACCTACATGGCGACCAGCGACAACAGCTAGCACGTGGAGGCCCTTTAGCACTAAATCCACATGGAGAGCCTTCGTAAGTACGACTACAGCATGGAGTATGTTCTCGACGACGACAACTCCTACACCTCGTTCTTCAAAGTAAGTGAGAAAACCTATTTTCTCGTATTATTCAATACCTAAGCACAATATGGACACAGTGGTCAGGATGCTCAGTTAGCTGTGGATCTGGTATGCGGCTACGCAGACAGAAAAATTGCAACCAAAGTACAGTATTCGATAAATCATATCTTAATAATCGCTCAGACTGTGTTCAATACGAGAAATGCGAAATGCCAGCTTGTGCTCCTCCTAGATCTTCTTCCTGGACAGGATGGTCAGAATGGTCAACTTGCAGTGTAACCTGCGGTCATGGGGTTCAACTACGTAAACGAGATTGTCAAGGCAAATCATGCAAAGGACCTGACAGTCAAGGAAAAAAATGCGCTCAAGCGGTTTCGTTAAATCCTTTTGAACAAAATAGAAGTTAATGTTTCCAGAAGTGTAAAGATGGTTGGACAGAATGGAGTGATTGGTCTTCATGCTCTGCAAGTTGTGGTCCTGGCAAGAAAAATAGGAAACGTCTTTGCTACGCTCCTCCCTGTGAAGGTGATCTATTCTAACTAGTACAGCACTAAAACTTATTCAGGAGACGACTCAAACACCCAGACTTGTGAACTAAAGGCTTGCTGGGTTTGGAGACGGCCTCGCAGCAGTGGGGGGGATCTTCAGAAATCCACTCTAGCTCGGTTAGGAGGTCTTGGAGTTTCACATGCAGTGAGTATCATTGTTGATTCAATATTTATTACAAATAATTCAGATTGAAGGTAGTGTCGGAGAACCTTGAAATGGGAAATTCCATTCAAGACCAATTAGAGAAAAAGATAGCTTAAATTCGCTTTAGTTGGCATTGTGTCTAACACATCATTGTTTATATGTATTTTTGTTGTTTCGATTTCTTCATAATAGTTACGGGTTTTATTTACTTCGATTCATTGAAATTAATAAAATATTATTTTTTTTACGTCGACTTCAATTATGCTTCACCGTATATGTTATTGGGAAAAGGCCATCCTGTAAGACTTTGAATGAAATATAATTAGCATAGTGCACGCGAGTAATGTGCCTCACGTGGATTTCGTAAATCACGTGGAAGTTTAAAACGTTAACATTATCTTGTTTTTGACACTGACATCACGGTTGCTATACATGCTCAGAAATAACAAACCTTATTAATGCCGTTCACAACCATTCTCCCAAACAACCATCCACTCTGTTCCATAGAAGAATCCAATAGTTGAATGATATCACCGTTTCTGATATTCAAACAGCATTCCTCTGATGGACTGTATGGATGAATTACTCGGTAAAACTTGAATTACAACATCTTTGATCTATTTTGTGAACAATGCCTACCTGACACTCCTTATATGGGGATTTCAAACACAAAGGCAAATGCGCAAAACATTCCTGAAGCGATCTTCTCCTGTACGTTCTCACCAAATCCTGCAAATCATGATCTTATCACTTGTGTCATTTCTACTTGGCTCTTATCCAACTCGAGGTCCGACTCAGCCGTAAGGAGTTGGAGAGTCGAGTTCGACGAAGAAAAGAAAATGATCGAAATATAACTTTTTTCCTCGAATTTTGCGAAACTTGGTGATCTTACTAATTCTGTTCTGAAACTTCTGAATATCAAATCAGAAATTGATTCTGATCATTCGTTTTCGATATACAGAAGGTTGAAGATTGAGTGATGTCACCATTGGCTCTCATCCAACTTGGGGTCCGACTCAGCCGTGAGGAGTTGGAGAGTCGAGTTCAGCGAAGAAAAGAAAATGATCGAAATGCAACTTTTTTTTTCGAATTTCGTGAAACTTGGTGATCTTACTAATTCTGTTCTGAAACTTCTGAATATCAAATCAGAAATTGATTCTGATCATTCGTTTTCGATATACAGA